ACACCCACATTCCCCTCAGACGTGAACAGAGATCCATTGTGCACCCATTGTAGGCCACTGCCCTGCACAGAGAACTCAGGTCTTGAGTTGCAGCATCACCATATCCTTCACAAACATAGCCCACAACTCGCTCTGACTTTGGCAAGCACAGGGAACCTGAAGGACCATGAGGAGCTGTGGGGTTCCTAAAGACCTAATCCTACACATGGGTCACCCCTAGGAGAGGCGGTAGTGCAGCTCATCAAAGCCTCCTTTGGGATAAAAGAAACATGCCCGCAGTGCCAATTGCTAAATGAGGTGGCACTGGTACCTAGGAGCAGAGGTGAAGAGAGGATTATCTCCTGCTCCTCCTATCCACTGTTATGGATGCAGCAGAGACTTTCCCCACTGGGGGCTGGCATGAGCACAAATGGAGACAGTTTTCCCAGCACTTTTTGTGGCAGCTATACGCCCACTGAAAGGAAGATACCCCACCCAGGCTTACATGAAGGACAGGACCCAACTCCTTTTTCCTATGCAGAGCAGCAGCATCCTGGAAAGAGAAGGTGGACAACCTGCAGAGCTATCCGCTGTGAACAGAGGCTCTTCCCTAAGGCCATTCCAGCGGTAGCCACCAGAAGTGTGTTTCAATGGACCTCAGTTGCACTGTAGCTAGGAATCAAATGAAAATGTCTACATTTATGTAGGTCATAAGTCCTGTCATAGGGGTGTAATAGGGAAGTGGATTGCATTCCTGCTGGCCCAGGATGAGGTACAGGTGCAGCCCTCCAACGCACATCTATCCCTGAGACCTTAGAACAATCCAACACAAACTTCTTCTGCCATGTCATCAGAGCTGTTGCCTCCACTCATTATCAGACTACTGGCCCATAAGCTGGGTCTTACTCTTAATCAACACCTACTGGACTAGAGACTCAACTGCATCACCAAATAAAAAATCTGCTATCAGAAAGGCAAAGTGCTAGTGTATGAGGTAAGCTTCCTATAGACTTCCACATTCTCACCCCTGCAGAAGATAGTGTGTTGGCTCATAGACCCAATATATCACTACAACAAATAACATTTTAAAAAGCCTATACATATATATATATATGCAAAAACTATCCCTAACTAAGGTACCTATATAGTGAATTGGTCCCCTGAAAGCATACAGAAATGAAACCGAATGATCATATACAAAATAGACCACAATCATACCCTCAAGGGGAAAAAGAATTTAAACAAATTAAAAATTCCATCTTCATGAAATGGGACTTCTTTCATATTAAAAATAAGATATGAAAGTTCCTTCAGATGAGACAGATCAGTATAAAAACTCTGGTAATTCAAAAAACAAAGACTGTTGTGACACTTACACACAATAACACAGGATAACACGAGCTTTTTAGCAATGGATGCTAACCAAGATGAAAATTCTGAAATAACAATTGGGAATTCAAAATATGGATTGTAAGAAAGCTCAGTGAAATCCAGGATAAACTGAAAACAACACAAAAATAATTTAAAAATAATAATTTAGTATCTGAATGACAGCTATATTCTTAAAGAAAACAAACAGAACTTCTAGAAGTGAAAAAAATTACTAAGGAAGTTCAAGAATGAATGTTAGAGCTAGAAGAGCAGTCTTTTTTTTTTTGGAACAGAGTCTCGCTCTGTCACCCACGCTGGAGTGCGGTGGCACGATCTCGGCTCACTGCAAGCTCCGCCTCCTGGGTTCCCGCCATTCTCCTGCCTCAGCCTCCTGAGTAGCTGGGACTACAGGCACCTGCCATCACGCCTGGCTAATTTTTTTTTTTGTAATTTTGGTAGAGACGGGGGAGTTTCACCATGTTAGCCAGGATGGTCTCGACCTTCTGCCCTTGTGATCCGCTGGCCTCGGCCGCCCAAAGTGCTGGGATTACAGGCGTCAGCAACCACGCCTTGCCAAAGACCAGTCTTTAGAATTAATCCAATCAGATATAAATAACGGGGAAAAAAGTGAATAAAGCCTATGTGAAGAAATGAAACCTAAGACTTACAAGCATTCCTAAGGACAAAAAGAAAAAGCAACTAATTTAGAAAACATATTTGAGAGACTAATTCAGGGAAATTCTGTGATCTTGCTAGGGAAATAGACATCCAGATACAAGAAATTCAGAGAACATCTGTGAAATACTATACAGTGTGAATATAACGAAGGCAAATAGTCATCAGACTATCCAAGGTCAAGATCACCTATGAAGGAAATCTCATCAGACTAAAAGCAGACTTATCAGTAGAACCATTACAAGCAAGAAGAAATGAGGGGCCTATTTTCAGCTTTCTTAAAGAAAATAATGCCCGCCAAGGATTTCATTTTCTGTCAAACTAAGCTTCATAAATAAAGAAGAAATAAAGTATTTCCCAAATGAGTGCAAATTTGTTATCACTACACTGTTTCTATAAGAAATGCTCAAAGGAGTTGAAACATAGATACAAAAGAACAATACTCACTACCAGAAAAAGACAATACTCACATGTAAGAACAAAGTTCATAGATCCTATAAAGCAATTATACAATTAAGTCTACAAAGCAAATAGCTAACACATTATATCAGAAACAAAACCTCACATATCAATATTAACCTTGAAGAAAATGGCTTAAATGCTCCATTTAAAACATACAGATTGGCAAATTGGATTAAAAAAAAAAAGAAAAGAAAGACCCAACCATCTGCTGCTTACAACAGATCCATATAATGAGTAAAGACACCCACAGGCTCAAAGTAAAGGGTAGTAAAAGATACATCACACAAATGGAAAACAAAACAAAACAAAAAAAATAGAAAGTCATTATTAATAAATACCCACTAAATCTAAGAAAAGCAATAGACTGCCATACAATAATAGTGGAGGATTTCCACACCCCACTGACTGCACTAGACAAATCAGCAAGGCAGAAAGCTAACAAAGAAACTCAGACATAATTAGGACTCTTGACCAAAAGGTGCTTATAGACATCTACAGAACATTCCACCCAGCAAACCCAGAATACACATTTTTCTCATCTATGCATGGAACATTCTCTAAAATTGACCAAACACTTGGCCATAAAGCAAGTCTCAATAAATTCAAAACAATGAAATAATATCAAATATCTTCTCAGATCACAGTGTAATAAAATTAGAAATCAATAGCAAGAAGAACTCTCAAAAATTACACAGGACATGGAAACTAAACAACTTGCTCCTGAGTGACTTTTGGGTAAACAATGAAATTAAGGCAGAAATCAAAAATATTTTGAAACAAATGAAAACAGAGATACATCCCCAAATCTCTACCAGACTAGGAAAAAAATAAAATGAATTTCCTTAATGCCTTATATTTATCTATGTATGAATGAATGAGAAGGCTTATAGGTCGTATATAAAGATCTGATATGGCAACAATGTTAGAAGACGATATAGCACTGTCTTCAACATTCTGATGGAAATATTAATGTATTTTTAACCTAGACTTTAGTTAACTGTGAGGATAAAGTAAAACCTTCTTCAAACATGCAAGTTCTGAAAAAAACAAAATCCTCCCAAAGACTTCTAGGAACTATAGATAAATGTGATCTGACAAAAGAGAGAAGTAAAGCAAGAAAGAAGATGTAAAACTAGGGTGGGGAAAGAATCCAACAAAGAAGAAAGGTATAGGAGACTCCCAGCATTAAGATAAAAGAGAGTTCTAAGGCTGACAGCTGAGCAATAAGCCTAGAAAACAATTCAGAACAGACCAAAAGGAAGAAGGATTTTGGGGGAAGCATCTCCATCTCTAGGAAAAAAAATAAAACAAAGCTGACATTAATTTATTCCATTCTCTGTATACAGATATAATGCTTAAGTCTTTTGTGCTTTTGTGGATAAATTCAAATAGAAAGAAAAGTAAACTAAAAACTTTGAGATTAAGATGACAATGCCCCTCAATTAAATACTACATAAGAAAGTAAATATAACCATAGAAGAGTAGCAAAATGTTCATAGATATAACAAACCCCAAATATTTCACAAAAACAAGATAAAATGATATAGCAACAATGAGGATGGGAAAAGAAGAAGTGTGTCTGGGTGTGGGAGTGAGGGGTTATATATTAGGTTGAGTAAATCCTAATTTTCCATAAAATGCTAGTTTTTCATAAAAAGCAATAGATTATTTTGTCCACTGAAGAATCATGAAATAAGAGAGTATGTTTGTTAGTGGGCTAGTTGGAAAAGAATAAAATAAAAAACAAAAAATAGTGTTGCAGTGGTTGACTCTAGCATGGAGTGGAGTGGGGAAGTGACAGCAATTTTGTTGTAAACATTATAGTATTATCTTCAATAACATAATGTCTTATTGTTAGAATAATAAATGGATTTAAAATAAAATGAGTGACTTCATATTTTTAAAATATATTTGAGAAAATGATTTTAGCATACTCTTATTAGGAAAAGTTTCCTGATAAACAAAATGTAATAATGTGTCCTTCAGTGGATATTTCTATTATAATTTATGTCATATGTCAGGCCATCAGAAACAGAGAGAACGGAATGACCTGAATTTCCAAGCTATGATAAGGCAATACTCAATTATTGTGACATAAATGAAATGCTAAAATAATATAATAATGAGACTCCTCCTGGCTTGATGAGAGAAATAGTTCTGGTTTTCAGGTTGGGCAGAGGTAGAGCAGACTACATGTTTGCCCAATTCTTTGTTACACTGATTCTCACTTACTCTTTGTATTTGGGCAAAATGCTCATGAAACCTGCCATGATGTGCTCTTTGTAGGGTAGCAGGTGGAGGGTAGAAGGTGGGAACAAAGAAAACAACAGAGAGTTGACTAACCTGCAGAGGCAGAAGTGGTAAAATCTAGTTGGTTAATTTTACCTTTTAGAAATTGAAGCCAGAGTGAATAGGAGAGTGAAAATAGACTAAAACTCTTATTTTATTCCAATGAAATTTAAAAGAGAAAATATTTTCAAAATGATTTTTACAAGACTGTGCTGTTTTCATAAATTCTTCCTATAATATGTTCATAGAGAACAATAACAATATACTATTTAATCTCGAATTTACATCATGATAAAAACATAAAATATTGCATTCATATTTGCAACTTTTATAACACATTTGATTAAAAGTAACAGATTCAAGTGCTTGTTACTTTGCCTCTTAAATAGGTCTTGGGGAAAAGAATTCATTAGAAATCTCACTGGAAAGAAACTGTTGATATACGCTGCTGACTTCTGCCACCCATGCAATTGCTTATACAACATGGCAATAAAAACAAATAAGAGAACAAAATACAAAATCTGACAGTCTTTTAGGAAACTTGGAGCTAGAATGTAACATACAATTGTCATAATAACTTTTCACGGTTTACAGAATAACAGTTTCCAATGTAGTTTCCCCGGTTTATTTTTCTTGATCCAAACTACAGGCATAACAGTATTATTTTCCTAATGATATTTTTACATTTTTAAATGAAGACAGTGTGGTTAAATACCATTGAATAGTCTTCTCAAGACTGCTGTACTTATGATGCCAACCATTATAAGGGAAAGCTAGTTATGATTTTAATTACATATAGCCTATATTTTAATAAAGTCAACATGTCTGGCAAAACATATTTAAAAGAAAATATGGGATGAATGTCTGCTCTTCGGCTGCTCGGGGGCCAGTGCCCTATGCCGCGTTCTCTTGTGATCCCTGACCTAACCCGTCTCTTCCTTTTCCCCAACCTCAGGTGGAGCCGCTACCAAAATGCAGATTTTCATGAAAACCCTTACGGGAAGACCATCACCCTCGATGTTGAACCCTCGGATACGATAGAAAATGTAAAGGCCGAGATCCAGGATAAGGAAGGAATTCCTCCTGCTCAGCAAAGAGGGATCTTTGCTGGCAAGCAACTGGAAGATGCATGGACTTTGTCTGACTACAATATTCAAAAGGAGTCTACTCTTCATCTTGTGTTGAGACTTCGTGGTGGTTCTAAGAAAAGGAAGAAGAAATCTTACACCACTCCCAAGAAGAATAAGCACAAGAGAAAGAAGGTTAAGCTGGCTGTCCTGAAATATTATCAGGTGGAAGAGAATGGCAAAATTAGTCGCCTTCATCAAGAGTGCCCGTCTGATGAATGTGGTGCTGGGGTGTTTGTGGCAAGCCACTTTGACAGACATTATTGTGGCAAACGTCTGACTTATTGCTTCAACAAGCCAGAAGACAAGTAACTGTATGAGTTAACAAAAGACATGAACTAAAAAAAAAAAAAAAAAAGGTGACGGTGTTCCCTGTGAAATAAAAATTATCACTTAATATTTGTCTCATTTTCACATATAATATATGCTTAAAATATTATTTCTGCTTCAATATGTCAAATAATTGTTATACATTTGAAATTTCATGAGCTATCACACTAGCTGAATTAGTGTCACACCTATGTCACATGTGAGAATCACCAAATAGAATACATATAGTGCCCTAAAATGGGAAATGGATAGAATGTTACTGTCATTAAAAAAAATTATCTGAAAATCTACTTCCAATATAACTAATATTACAAAAAATTATTAATAATGTAAACTATGTTGAATTTAAATATCCTTGCAAAATTTGACAATTCTGATAGGCCAAATACGAAGCTGGTTTTTCCCTTTGTGAATTAAAAATTCCTCAATTTTACATGTTGGAATGGACACACAAGGATAATACTGAATCAATGTATTTTTAAAGAATATAACAAACTGTATGATGTTAGGAATTTTTATGACATTTGTAGAATGGTTTCATATTTTTAAGATAAATAGCCTAACAAGGTACACTAAACCTCTCTTTGTTTTACATCAAATATGAGGGAAGAAAGCACAGCCAGACAGTCATGATGGAGAGAAGAATCAATGCACTTTTAACAATGTGAATTCCAGATTCACAAAGACCCAACAGAAAACTATGTGGAAAAGATGAAAGCCTGTGCTCACCTTTGCTTTCATAAGTCTCTGAGGACATCTGTCTTGGATTCATTGGGTTTCAGAAAGCCCAGTGTGCTTGGGAGCGTTGTAAAACCAGATCCTCCCTGTCTCTTAGGATGTAATTTATCTCTGAACGTTTGCTTGTGGCACTAGAGCCAAAGATAATTATTCAGAATCCTTTTGGGCTTCCTAAGGAAAAGGCTAGAGAGAGAGAACAAATAGCATGCTGCTGAAGTACAAATGTTGACGAAATGATAATGACTGAGACAGCATGTCAAGAAGACTTCTTCAGTTAATTCTTCCTACAGCTGGAAAAAAGTGCAGTTACCAATTAGGCATCATTTGTATTGTTTACTTGCCAATTCTTAGCTATATTATTCTGAAACCTCAAATTTCTTAGAGGCCTTAATGGTTGTATGGGCTGTATCATAAAAGCATAGCCGTAGATAACATAATGTAAGGAAAACCAACATTTTTCTCGCTACTAAGTTTCAATCACTCAGTAGTTCCACCATTTATGGTTTCATTAAGTAGAAATATAAAGCTTCTATTATTATGCAACACTACCTAAGATGGTCAACATAGGAAGCACTGGAATTATTTTGATACTAAATTTGCTTTTCATAGAATTTAGACATCCTTTTAGCAGAATTCACTGGTAACGGAACCATAAACTGTTCACTCTATATGCTATTCCATAGAGGGGTAAGATGAATGTGAAGTATTCACTGCAGATGAGAGCTGGGGAGCAATATGGGAAGAAGGGGATAATGTAAGGGAAGACCAACTGAAGATAATCTCTGGGATAAGTCACAAGAAAACCCCCCTCAAGTTTACCTCAAATACTTGGACTGACATCAATAGAACTCCACATTCTCTGGAAATCTTTTATCTCTCAGATAATCGATTGGGTTTTTATACTATTTGATCACAATTTCCCACCATTGCGACTCCATATAGCTCTAACACGTTTGTTCTTTCATCTCACTTTTACTTTGTTCTTTTGTTCCCTAATCTGTCTCACTCCCTGCATCTCTTTTCTTATTCTCCCTCCTTTTTCTAATAATTACCACTTAAATGACTCAGGTTGCTAACATACTCAAATCATTTGCCCTTCTGCTCTTCCACTCCATTCATCTAGCAAAACCGCCTGTCTGGATTGAAATAATTGTTATTAATGATACAGCAAATAGTGGATCAAGGGAAGTCCATAAGCAATGAAAACTGATCATGTTTTTATGTCTCTGATTACATTTGGGATACCAGCCTTGCCCTGCACTAACTCCTCTAATCTCTTAACTTTTAATTTGAGCATCTTTTTTTCTTTCCATCTGTTCCATCCCTTTCCTCAGAGGCAATTTTTAAAAACACCAGATGAGAACCCACTCAACTTTCTGCCATCAAACCCATAATTGTACCCTTCTCTGAAAACTTTATTAGGGTTTTCTGTGGATTTGGATGCTGATTAGTGAGGGAGACCTTGGCTGGAAGGGGAATGACCTTGAATTTTCCCACAGAGCCCATCTCAGCCATGTTACTACAATCATGGCTATAACCCAGTCATGGTGCTGATGCTGGGAACATTTAATCTTTGTTTACCAACCATGTCAGAACCAAAACTATTCTGACAACTTCCATATTCTCCCCTCTGCAATGTGAGAGGAAGAGAAAGTAAGGGTTGCCATCAGTGGCTTGGGATTTACAAAACTCAATTAGTGGCTTCTTTTATCTGTGCTACAGTCTCCATTACCTTCCACTTCCCAATTCATAACTAAAAATTTAGGAATATTCGTGAAAGGACCCGCTCTCCTGGAGCTTCTGGTGATGTTGAGTCCTTCTTGACTGCCCAGCTTTCATTAACTCGTTGATCTGTTAACTGAAATCAACATTAGTCCTTAGGTCGTGCATTAGATATCTAAACTTTTTTATCCTATATATCTGCTATTTTTTTATCCTTTGACCTACATTTGCCCCTTCTCTCTCATTTCATTCTGTATCTCTGTGTAGTTGAGCTTTTTTTGTTCTTATTTTACATATTAGTGAGATCGTGCAATATATTTTTTCTCACTTATTTTACTTAGCATAATGTCCTTCAGGTCTATCCATTTTGTGGCAAATGTAGGGTCTTCTTTTTAAAGGCTGAATAGTTATTCCATTGTGTGTATATATATACACACACACATACCACATTTTCTTTATTCATTCATTTATAGGTGGACATTTATGTTATTTCTATATTTTGGCTATTGTAAATAATGCTACAATGAACATGGGAGTGCAGGTATTTTTACAAGTTGGTGATTTTATCTCCTTTGGGTATATATCTAGAAGAACGATTGTCAGGTCATATGGGAATTTGATTTTTAATTTCTTAAAGAATTATTGTGAAAAATAGTATGGCGTTTCCTAAAGAAAATACAAATTAAATTTTCTTTTTAATTCAGATTTTATCAGAAAAAAGTTGGCTTTTGTCTTTACGATTTTAATTTTCTAAACCATGATTGTTTATTTGCATATAAATAATATCATTTAATTTATATTTGCTAATATGAAGTTTTTGTGAAAGTCATATTCTACCATGCAATAGGGTAAAGGGTAAATAAGTGCAAAATATGTGCCAATATGTGGAAGTGGTTCCTCAGAAAAAGTTAAAAATATAGGCTGCTGTAAATTAATTTTTACTTCTAGAAATAGAAAATCTTGAGAAAATTTCCTCTTAATTGATGGATTAATTATGCTTTAGTTATTAAAATATTCCTGCATTAAAATTTTTGTAACTCACCTCTAAAATTATTAATTACTTAAAACCAAAATTTATATAAACTAGTGACTAACTTATTTTGTGGCTTCACACTTGACATGCTGGCCACTTACTTGGATTTCTAACCCAACTAAATTACCTTTCTCTAAATTAATTCCTAAACTTAATTTTTAATGTGACCTGAAAATAAGTTTATGTACTTATAGAAATAAACAAAGTATACCACATAAATTTGAACATTGATTTTTATGTACTATACATATTTGACCCATTTTTTTTTTTTTCCAAAGTGTCTTTGAAAACTCGGGGAATTTCTTGAAATTGACAATTTTAGCTGCTGTTCACTTGGGTTCCTAATTATGTGGCATATAGATTCACATGAATCACAAAGCATCAAAAGGAATGTTTTATTACTATAGCCTCATGTATCAACTGACAAGTATTTGCTGTTAACTAATTCATTTTAAATCCCTGACAATAATCCACTGTTCTCATCTTTCAATGTTATCTGTTTTTAGAAGAGGGCAAAAGAAGAAAGAAAAAATAGAAGAATAAAAGACATTCACTATAATATTCAAAGAGTAAAAAAGTTATTTCAAATAATAGAAAAATTACTATTTTAAGCATTGAGTATTACATGTGATGGGTTTCTTTCTCTCTGGGTATAGACACGTTATCTTGACTAACTTTATTGAAAGCTTTACTAATTTACTTTAAATTTTGTTTAAAACTGCAGCTCTACTTCTAGTGATCTTCCCATTTAATTTCTCTCCATGAAAACTGGAGCTTATGAGAAAGTCTTCAGTTAGAGTAATATTCGTTATATCAGAGACTGGAGGTATAAAGCAGTAGAAAAAACATAAAAATCTGAATATGGGAAGAGAGTTTTTATAAATTCTAGTTGTTAAAATAAGTGTTAAAAGGAGTACTTTTTGAATGCCTCTAATATTCACATTTTTTCTGTGAGGCTGTAGCAATCAGATTTCCCCAGAAAAATAAAACCAATAAAATATCTCTATCTATCTATCTATCTATCTATCTATCTATCTATCTATCTATCTATCTATCTATCTATCTATCATCTGTCATGTATCTATCTACATATCATTACCTAGCTATCTATGTCTACCTATATATGAAGAGATTTATTTCAGTGAATTTGCTCACATTATTCCGAAGACTGGCAAGTCTGAAATTTGTTTGCAATTTGCAGGCTGGACGGCGGGAAAATCAAGCAGTAGTTGATGTTCTGGTCTTGAGGCAGATTTCTTCTTCTTATCAGGAACATCCCTGTTTTTGCTCTTAAGGCCTATCAAATGATTAAGTAATCCTCACCCATATTATTGAGAGCTATCTCCTATACTTAAAGTTAACTTATTATAGATGTTAACCACATGTACCTTCATAGCAACACCTAGGTTAGTGTTTGATTAAATAGTTAAGAACTAACACTTGTCAATTTGACACATAAAACCAACCAACACAGAGGCCATGTATGTATAAACAAGCCATAACAGCAAATATTTTAATAGACAAATTTTCTTTAT